CGACTCACTTTTACATATTCGACTTTCTTCAACATTAAATACAGACTTATCACCAATGTTCTGGAGAAACGACAACTGCATATCAGTGGCCAAAATATGAAATGTTCACAAATGAATGCAGTGTTTTAGCGTATAGCTTGGTTACACTTACTCATAGAAAAATGCTCCTTGATTTGAATGTTTGTATGATACCAAAACCTGAAAATTGTTTAAAAGAAAATTGCCAGCTGCCAGTCGATTGACTGTATGACATTTGAAAAAAACAATTCTTTTCTCTAGATGGAAATTTAGTAGTTCTTATGTGCCAGAAAAGGTCCTAGGGTACTGTTGGAAATATAAATACATTGACTTTTGGCCTTTACTTTACCTTTTAAAGAAAGACAATGGTTAGTGGCATATATCAAAATCACAACCTTCTTTGGGTCAGAGGCATTCACTCATCTATGAAAAATTAAGCGACCCAGGGTCATGAACCAGATCATACTCTGTTGTGACAGGTCACAATCGCATTGAAATCAGATCATAGTTCGCGTTACCGCTAAACACAGATCTGAGGACATCCCATTACGGCTCACGTAAGGACGACCTTTCATCCATCTAATCAGATCAGGAAAGTGACAGTCGGCATGTGTTGTCTTATCATGCAACCTCGAAAATGTTAACACGGGATATTCCGAACGACAGTTACAGGTTCATTCGTGCCCAACTCGTGTTTTCCGGGACAAGGCGAATAGCGACTCGTGCCCCTCTCGTGGCCATTTTTGCGACCGGGTTGCGTCTTAGCACAAACATGCATACCTAAAACAATTGTCAACTCGTTGCGTAATGGTTCACGCATTTTCCACATATATTATTTATATTCAAGATGCAATTTAAAGCACATCGGGACGTACGGAATTATACAGTATGATTGAATACATTAAACTGTGTCTTTGGTATATTTTTAGATGCAAGACATGTAAAATAAAAAAATATTTCTGAGGGATTCTTTGACGAAGAACTTGAAATCATACGCGCATTCTGATTGGTTTGTCGTATTTTCGCCCATAACATTCATCGATAGGGGGACGAGTCTTCTTGCAGGTTACGGAAAGGGGCGAGTGTTGACGACAGTTACAGGTTGTACGACTGATTCAGTCAAAATCATCGTCTATCTCTCACTTATAAAGGGATAAACATTTGAACAGAAGAGACGTTGCATAGCTCGTGGGAAGCACTTCCACACACTCCCGACCATACATTAGACATCCCAGAATGTTCATTTGTTCTATTTTGAAATTTGTAATCGAGAACTTTGTCAACATATTTTTCAAGCATAGTCCGGAATGGAAGTCGCTAGTTTGAAACTAGTGTCATATAGCTCGAAAAAGCTGCTTTCTGATTGGCTAATGTCGACTTCTGGTTAATCATTCAATTGACCGATCAAAGTTTCCCGAAAGGTCGCTCTGACGTGAATTGTAATGGGATGTCCTCAGATCTTTGTTTAGTGGGAACGAGGACTAAGATCTTATTTAATGAGATTGTGACAGGTCACAGTCACCAAATGAAGCGCATTGTGTAACGCTCTTATTTCATAACTCTTAACTTGTGTAAAAATACACGTGATGACAGGTTGATTACCTCAAAATACACATCATATGATACACAAAATATAGTAGGAGGGTAAACTCATGCAATGATAACAACATTATATTTTCTTTATTAGCACAAAATAACGTTTTCATTCTGATTAATATCTCGTTTACTCAATGGCATTTTAACTAAATGTCAAACTTGGTTTCGTCTTTCCATCGTCTAATTTACACATTGTTATGACTTGTTTCAATACTGTTCCTTTGGACTTGAGCAATATGTCAGGCTCTAAATTTGGCTTTCTTTTCTCTCCTGTAAATCGTGTTTTGTTCCTTGTTGCGGTCTATTCGTTGAAACAACAGATGGTAATAAAGTTGTTAGTTACTTATTTCCATCATTGGTTAAAAGAAATGCTTAATATTAAGAAATACAGGTCAAGAATGAATTTATCATATAATAAAAAGGGTTATCGATAAACCAATCCGCTAAACGTGATAGCACGATCCGAAAAATATGCAAATGAGGTCAGGTGTTAGGAACTTCTTTGGATGAGCTCCATACACAATATGCGATTCCTACTTGCATGAAAAACATTGCCTTACGTTCCCGACTTCCCAACTTGTTTAGAGGTTTCCCGATGTGTGAGTGTTTCTGTAAACAAACATGGCTGCAAATCATTGAACACTATATTACAGACATAGTATTACAGGCTTTGTATTCTTACGCGGTTTCTAAAGCTACTTTCATGAATGAAAAAATCGCTTAAACTTCAATTACTTTCAGAATGATATTACCTGACAAAGAGATAAGTACCCTCGCGTGTTTCGTATCGTAAATATCATACATTAGGCTCCCATAATTACAATTTGTATTCCTAATATATGATGTTTACGTTACAACAAATAAAGTATTGCTACCTCCGATAGTATTTAAATCACACCTTGTCCTTTGTTTTGCATGCGTTCCCCACTAAATCTTAATCCCACTACAGACCTGTGAAGATCCGGGTTAGAATAGGTCTAACCCATGCCGTAAGAGGCCACTATGCTTGTTATAAGAGGTGACTAACGGGATCGGTGGCCAGACACACTTACTCAACTGCGTAGATCGATGCACATGATCAGGTCCAGACTCGATTATATTCAGACCGCAGTCATATAGCTGGAATATTGCTGAGTGCCGCGTTAAACAACAAGCAAACAAATAAACAATAAAACTCCACTTCATGTTAGGTTCGTTCTAATATTCATGAATAACTGCATCATCCCTGAGGATGACTTCAACTTGCCAATCATCCTCTTTCTTTTATGTAGAGCAATGTTCCAGCAGCTACACCCTTTGCTGTCTACTTTTCACAACCTTTGAAGTTCAATCGAGCATGCCTTTCCAACAAAGATTTCAAAGAGCGTCATACGACTGTCTTTTTGATCAGGGTTACAAGATCGAATGCCTTATTAAAGCTTTCAATTGAGTGAGTGAGTTTGGTTCAACGCCGCTTTTAACAGTATTCCAGTTATATCGCGGCGTGTCAGCTTAATGTGGGAGGAAAGCCCGAAGTGATGCAGGTCTCAGACGTTTACCACTTCGGTGAAACCCACGAGCACGGGTATGGTGCTGACAAACCTAGTAACATAATCGGGGCGAACCGTGATTCGAACCCACAATCATAGGTTCGTGGCGTGCCCAAGGGACGCAACTCTGCACAGCGAATCGCGGCACCTTAGACGACTGGGTCACCCGTGCCCCCTGTAGCTCAGAGTAACTGCAAAATATACCAAATATCGTGTTGATGCCCTTCATGACCTTCGACCACTTTAGGTGCGATGGGGTAGCCTAGTGGTTGAAGCGTTCGCTCGTTACGCCAAAGGCCGGGTTCGATTCTCCACATGGGTAAAGTGTGTGAGTCTATTCTGATGTCGCCCGTGGGGTTATTGCAGAGATATTGCAAAAAGTGACGTAAAACCAAACTCACTCACTCACACAACACTGTGACATCCTATGTAACTTATGGGATATAAGTAAAAAGTGTGTGTCTAGTTTGGAGTGAGTGAGTATGATTTCACGCCGCTTTTAGCAATTTTCCAGCAATATCACGGCGGGGGACACCAGAAATGGGATTCACGCATTGTACCCATGTCGGGATTCTAACCCGGGTCTTCATCGTGACGAGCGAACGCCCTAACCACTAGGCTACCCGATGTAGAGGACACTACTAAAATTTGACGCATCAGTGACACAAGGGTATCATCAACGTTGTGTTCTTCACAAAACTCCCATGGCATTCTGCGATGGTTAGATAAAACCAAAAATCTTTGTACTACCGGAAAACTGATTTGTGAAGCTTAAAAAGGGAATAAAACAAACAAGGAAACTGAACATAAACATATAATCAGATTCACTGACAAATGTATAAAACATTGCATTTGATAACGTTTTCAATACGTAATGTATTCACGTCACTATTACATACAACGATAATTGTTATATACTACCCCAAAAAGAAACGCATATGTGGTTTTCAAGACAGTCATTATGTGACTCAGCCTTTAAACGCAATGGGACGTGGAAAATTTCCTCAAACGCTAACTGCGTCCACCATTGGCCTGGATGACGACACGTCGCCTTCTGACCATCATCTTCCCGAGGCAAGAGAGTTAACTGATTTCTGAAGTCCAGTTTCTACCCTCGCCGGCCAAGGCTCGAATTCCTGGACTCGATCGTAGCGCCACCAGTGATTATTACGAGTTATGTCCCTTCTAAGCCTCTCATATGGACCAGTCATATTCCACCTTCTCTCATCACTTGCATCAAGTGTTGTTTTGTTTCAAACAAAATGGCGGCGCCCAGTCAAGACGATCTGATCGATAATCAAGATCTATATTGTAATAAAAAGGGTCTTACATCGCGAAGTGCATCAATTCTCGCATGCATCTTCATTAAAAACATGAACAGATTTGGAAAATATCTGTTGACAAGTTGGTGGTGCACATGCTTTGGAAATCCTGCAATCGACCGAAATCTGCAATATAGTTTACGAACCGGATTATGATTTCATTGCGCGATTTTAATTGGATTATGCATAGACTCGTTAGTCCAGCTAAAATGTAACTCCATTATACCAGCCTAGTTCGTCATGGGTGGAAACTGTATAGTCAGTTAACTCTCTTGCCTCGGGAAGATGCCTGACCATGGAACCAAGAAACCTGTGGAATGACAGTCTGTTCTTCCACAGTGAGTGAGTGAGTATGGTTTTACGCCACTTTTAGCAATATTCACGCTTAAACCGCTAGGCTACGCCACCGCCCCTATCCTTCCAGCACAGCTTGGCGTAATGCCGCAAATTCTGTGGTCCTGGTTGACGTTGACGTAAACGTCTGTCAAGCTCATCCCACAGATGCTCAATTGGGTTAAGATCTTTTTAGCTTGACTACCACGGTAGTACATTATTGTTCTAAGCCCTCTTGAAACTGTGTGGGGACGGGAATTATCAAGCTGCGCCTGGTGCGCCTGCGACAAGTTGCACCTGGTGCTTGCAGAGTCGGGACAACGTGACGCACACTTGCTCTGTTGCCGTAGACATAAACAAGATCTGTTACTAGTCCATGAAAGACGGTTCCCCACATCATGACACTTTCTCCATCGAATCTGTCGACTTCTTGTCTGTTGCCGATACACATGCACCCGCTTTACCTCCTTTGAAGAAGGAAACCGGATTTGTCACTTATTTCAAAATTCACCTCGTTTGAATGATTTTAGAAACAACATGTGTCATAAACTTCCCTGTTAAACCCCTGAAAACGCCATGGCTTGCACGTAAAGATTGCTTATCAGATTCCCAAGAAATGAAGTCATACAAATAAATGTGAAAGGTAATTGATATCAAAGACGTTGCTTTGTGACACTTTATCAGTAAAAATAATATGTAGACTTTGTTTTTCTTTCGCAACGCGGACAACTTCCATCCACAAAATATAATTTCGAAAATATTGTTACCACCAATGCGATTCTCGCAGGATCTGGACGCATGACGTACATAAGCTAAAAGGTTAGCATATATTCAGTTTTGAAGAAATTGAAAGGGTCATGTCTAATATTTCTTCAAGAATGAAAATGGAATTTCACTTTTCCTTTTGTCTCAAGTTCAGATTTGATTACAGTGAACCAGTTTCAGTCCTAAGAGCTTTGAAAAAGCCTATCTGTAGTAGAAGTCTTACATTCACGTATGGTAACTACATACCAATTCTTGCAATCACTTAGTAATGCTATCATTACTCAGAGAGTTCCGGCTTTAATGCCATATGATGCAAAGCTGTAGGAAGATCTCGACTGAAGACACTTGTTGATGTACTATTTCGGAGTATGTTTCAATACAAATGTTGTTTCAATTAGATCCCAACGCGTTAGTGAGAAGTAAAAGTGTCCTTTTTGAATGGTCTTCTATCTCGACGCGCACGTCTTATCTTCTCTGCTATATCAACCCGACCAATGTGTCTCATTGACTCCTCCATATTTCTCATTAGATTTGCTTTACCCGAGTGTTTTTGATACCATGCCATTAAAAGCTTGAAGCGAGGGTCCCAGTTTTCTCTCATTGCTCTTTCAACAATGACTGTAATGTTGTCAGATCCCATTCCTAAATCTACCATGACCTGTTGCCATTCTGGAGTCGTGAGGGCATGACTAAGTCCCAGCAGACTGCTCTCACTCAGGAGTGGATTGCCTAGAACAGTCAAAAACATATCTAAAACATATATACATTTAGAAAGTATGTAAAAGATATCGATGCACTTTCACATATCAAAATATATTTGTTAATGGTTAACCTCCACGAACACCTGTTATCATAACTATGTGATAATGAATCAAAAACACATGCTCTTAAAATAATCGGAATCTCAACATAGATAATTTAGGCTCCACAACAACAAAGCATACTGAAAACATTTTAAATATGAATAAAGCTCACCAAGAGTTCCAAAGGATGAGGCTTTGGTAGGTCCTCTTGGTTCTTTGACTGCTATAGGAGGTAACTTGGCACTAGGTTTCTTGTGTCCTCTTTGGATGCCATGGTTGTGTTCAGTGTCTGGCGTTGTGAGGGTGTCAGCGAGTGTCGACTTCCTCCTACAGCTATTTTTATCCTTGGTCGAACATTGCAATTCAAAGGCATGTCTAGGGTTGATTGAAAAGCTTGTTTCATCTCTTGTTAGAATTCTCCGAGGCATTTTATCACCAGCCACTCCCGGAATATTGCTTCCCAAATGTGGTGTATGGAGTTGTCTTTCTGGCATGTTGCTTTTTGTAAGAGTTGTGTGGTTTCGTGAAAATACCTTTGGCTGTAATGGGTGATGCTCATTGACTGATGTCCTGGGATTTAGAATTTTAGGGAGAGGTAATGTTGGTGTACCTACCATATTGCGTTTCTGTACGTTTCTGTTAGGTTTCTGTTTCAGAGGTGTGCAGGCACTAGCATCTTCTCTGTTGTTGGACATAGGGGAGATGGTAAGTTCCTCTGTGAAAATCCCAGACGTTGAATCATTGAACGCTGTCAGACTGTCAAAATCTTTGGCTAAATGACCATGGCTTTTAATGCACGTAGCGGGACTCGGTGTCACAGATAACGTATGACTGATTTTCCGTTGTTTAGTTGACGCTTCACTAAGAGAATGTTTTCTCACAGAGCCAACAGTATGTCCCCGCATTGATGCACTCATATGTGGCGTGCTGACTGCTGTAGTGTATATAGTTGTTATGTCACTAAGATGCCCACCACATACAGTAGCTTCCCTTGCAGCGTCTGTCTGTACAGTGGGATAATTAATATCATATCTGGCATTCAGTACTACTTGATTGTTTGGAATTTGAGCATTACCAGGGTTGATATAGTTGTTAGCAGCTTCCTTGATATGATCACTGTCTTTGCTTTGAGTCTGTTTATTGAGGTTTAGTGTTTTATCCAATGGGTAATCTACATAAAAGTGAATCTCATGCCACTTATCTGACCCAATCTTAATTGTCACTATGCCATATGACACCCTACGCATAAAACCCACTCTCTTTATTCTCATGTCCACAAAGTTTTCTTCCGATGTTGATGTGTACTGAAAAGTAAGATTTTTCATTTCTCTTTTATCCACCAGTTGTGTATTACCAGAAAAGGATATCCTGATCCGCTCATCCCGTAAAACGTCAATATCTGGCGATCTGCTTTGTTTGATTTCGTGGAATCCTTTTTCCTGTCTATACCTGACCCTGCTTCCAGCATTTGGGGATTCCACCACTTCAATAGTAATACACTTACAGTTAATTCCTGCAGCTCTCGATAGAAATGTTAAAATCTTGCATTTGCTGAGCTCATTTCTCTGCAACATGGCACATTCTATTAATCTGTCATCGCTCACCCCTGGGCGTACAAGTGTAGCTTGGCAACTGCAAAATATACATAAATATGCTCCATGTTATACAATATAGAGCATAATCTATTTTCAGACAGTTACTAGTATATTGATAGTTTGTGAATGAAGACTTCAGGACGTTTTCTTGACAGATGAATACTCCAACTTAAATTCGTGGTATTTTCGTATTTTATTTCCATTTCAAATATAAACAAAAATGAAATCCCAAATAGTCAAACTTTAATCAGATTTTCACAATGAAAATACATTATACAATTCAACGTATGATGTACCTTAACGGTTTTGCCTTAATGCATACCTGTTTGTACCGGTAGTGCCGTGTGACATTCTCACAGATCCATTGCTTATTCCATGGTCACCCGAAGACACACTGTAAACCCCATTTTCGACATTCAACCATTTTACCTCCACCTCGTCCGATCCAGTATCTTCAATTGGCAGTTCCACCTCCGCGGGTTTATTGAAAGCTCTATCAACTGCATATCGTACAGATAGTATGTCAGATAGAGCATATATTCCCTCACAAACGCCCGGGTCATAAGCTCTGTACCATTCCAGTCTGTTCATGCTGGTCGGCTGAATCTGAAGAAACATCCACAGACTCAAATGCCCGAGAAAGAAGCGCACTTAATATTCCCTTTTTCATGATCAATTTCACTATTCGCATTTATTTATTCCTTTTAATATGGCAGTTTATACTTGTTCATGCTCAATAGGCTAGATGCTATATCATAATATTAGCTTCATATAATTAGCCACTAATGTTGTCTATACCTGGATGGAAATAGTCATTTCCGTGTCCACGGCTCCATCTGGTACTTCGACTCGAATCCTTTGATCTTTGCTTGAAACGAATGTGTATCCTCTTGGTGTGATATTGATAACCTCTCCACGCTGCCTGGCATACACCACGAAGTAGTGTAAATTCTCTACTTGAAAGCATGCAAGATCATCCTGTGGGCAAAGACCATGCAAAACGGTGAAGTGTAACATGATTGTGTGTGTATTTGTCCAGACATAGAATAGGTGTAACAACGAAATTTGATGACGATTTCTTCTGTGTTGTTATATCATACTGCAATATGTTTAGTGGATAACTCTGCAATTATTATTAGGTGATTTATGTCGTATTTCTTATTATTTTACCTCATAATTAGCTTCATCAGACGTCCACGCTTCCCACTTTTTGAATACCATGAATTGCAACAGATCTCTTTTGTCTAGCTTTGTGGATGGCAGGTGCAGGGGTAGCTGGAGTTTGTATGGTGTATTGTTTACCTGAGGGAAACCATTCCCAACGACCCTGTACAGATCACTGACCATCATGTCATTATCTGTCCGGGAAAACTCATCCAGAATCAGTGTCCTATCTTCAGCACATACAGGCTCAACATGGCAGTCGATGTCAGACGCCCCTGTAGGTACTTTGAGAACTATTCCCTTCCCCAAATCTTGATCCCTGAAGCAAAAGGAGCTATGAGCCATGTGGTGTTATTTTTGTGTGTACACATGTGAAATATGTTCAGGTGTTGACCTCGAGCACACCTAATGTAATTATCTATGGTGGCTGGGGGATAGATTCAATTATTACCCAAATCTGGAGAGGGATCGTGAATTAACTATTTGGTAATTATGATTGGCTCAATAATTAATTACGTAATTTGACTGGCTGAAACTACTTTTTGTTCGTTTGTAAATCTAAAAGCAGTCACAAAAACGATCACCCATGACCCTGAATAGAGTTAAACCCAGTGACACAAAACACACCCCTTTTATGTATTCTTTCTTAAGGTAAGATTAGATATGAATCTCATGCATCGTATTTTGCATTCATATTTTATCATGTTTATGATAACAAACAATTTTAAATCGAGATCTGGACATTGGTAGAACATAAACAATCAATCCAAGATGGCATTTCTCGCGTCCAGCAAAGGATAAAACAAAACATCGGTTCAGATAATGACCGAAGTCTGACTGTGCAATGGATGTTCTCTTTTCACGCAGAAGGTTCGCGATAAGCATATTCATGAACATGTACATGCTAAGCGCGAACCTTCTTTGTGAAAAGAGAACATCCATTGCACGGTCATACAACAAGCATGTGATCCAACGAATATGGCATATTTTCAAAATCATTCCCACTGCTAGAACCTATATTCTGGTTTCGTGATTCATTCGGGGAAACTTTTGTGAAACAAAATTCCATATCATAGAACAGTAAAAACAGTAATTACATCACAATCCGAAATGAAACGTCGATTTTTAAATGATGTTACAACTTGGCTTACGTGCCTATGTCCCAATAGAAACATGACGGATGTCACTGCTCAGCTATAAGGCAGTCCAAATAAGGTCACGTCAGGACAGTGTAATGAACGAAATTGTACTTATGCAAGTGAAAAACTCGGTATTCTCCTGACGAAAGTTGATCTTGAAAATCACAAACATGATTTTCGATAATCGTATTACTTTGTTGATGTTGGGACACAATTCGGTCGTCAGATTCTTCTGATTTGATATGAAGTTTGCTGCTAGTAATATGCTCCAAGTCCAAATCGAATGACTTTTGTTTTGATAGCGGTCGACGATTCTTTTCAGTTGTAGTTTTACTGATAGTAAATAGATATTATAACGCGAGTGTGTTTTGGGATTATAAATATCCCGTATTAGGAATAAACATTGTAGTTAGCGACAGTATACTGACGTCGAGCCGAAAAGTCCTCATTTTAGCCAAACGCTAGGCAGGAAAACAAAAAGTTTCATCTTTCAACGTCTTTTGGTATCACGCGGCCGGGAATCGAACACCGGACCTTTCGGTCGCCGGGTGGACGCTCTACCACAAGACCACGGAAGCAGTTCCATGTCAAATAACTGAGAAATACTACAACGCGACGTATCTTTGTGATCAGTAAAGGCATAATAACTGGGAATGAAGTGCTTTGCAGCTCTTTCAGACTTGTGGCAACGGTAATATCGTGATGCAAAACAATAGGCACACAAGGCCATTTTACACAAGCTTATCATTGCTTTGTGTACTTGCAGAGCTCTAACCCATTCATATATATCAATAAATACTCTATGTGATAGATGTTTCGAAAAGGTCTCTCTTGGGAAATATATATGTGGTTAACAATATATAGGAAAGAATTAGACATGAAGGATTCTGAGAAAGAACAGTATCTGCAAGTTTTGAGTGACATCGGTTTGTCCACAGCATGCTAGCACCAGTAAACGCCATCCCCATATTCATAAATTCTTCTCGATGAGATTTGACAGTAACCTGAAACGTTAATTCATTTTTCATGGCATGGACACGAGAAACACTGTGCCAGTCTTATGTCAACGTATCTGTTTATAACTTCTACAAGTTTCGGAATACTGGGGATATTGCCTGCTCAGTACCCTGAATGAGGATAGATGGAATGATAGAAAGTCCTTGCATTCCATGCATTACCTGTAATGATGTAAAATGGCTTCTTCTTCTGCTTCTTCTTCGTCTGCTTCTTCTTCTTCTTCTTCTGCTTCACAATCTGCAGTTGTGAGAGAGATACATGTAGCTTCGAGAGGACTGCGGTCTTCTATTCTGTCACCCTCTCTGATTCTCAGTTCCTCCTCACTGATTGTCTCCATCTCCTCATCAACCTCCTCCTCCACAAAGCCGTCACTCGTGCTCTCTTCTGAGTAAAGGCTAGACACAGACCTATAAGATACGTGGCATTTCACATTTTAGTAAACAAGAGAACCATGACGACATTGAAAATTGTTTATCAGGAACGACATGCAATAGGTACAATATTTAAAGGTATCTGAGCTCATGAAAGCACAATGACATCGCAGTATTTTCAGATCGGACATATGATCCCCTCCTTGCTGATTTGTTTAAATGTGCACATGAATCGATATTTCAGCTCCGATTGACAAAAAACAAGATCTGAAAATGTTTTATGCTAGACATGTGAGGTGTGGTAAAATGGAGATTATTGCCATTTTTTAGTGGTGTGTGTGTCTGCTTCTACTTGTGCTTGTATCAGTCCGAATGCTGAGTTTATAGTGCCCAATGGGATACCGTTCCGCAGTTTAGAGACGAGTGTCACTGGTGGGGCAAAAAGGTGTAGTCGAAATTATTTAATTAGCAGAGATTTCTTATGATTGTGGTTTCATTGTGTCGGTATTATTAATATTACGATACTATATGACAATAAGAGGTTTGAATCTAAAGCTATATGAAGCATTTACTTAAAAGATCACTTACTCTTCAAATTCGCTCGCTTCTCCATCTGTTTGATCATTCCAGTCATTGTTCATTTGAACTCTGCAAACGATAGATGAAGTAACACAAATAACTCACAGCCGGATATGGAAGAGTCTGTCACAATGTTCACACTTTCATAATCATTAAACAATTACATAGAAGTACTTTTGACTAATGCAAGGAGGCAAAACCTTCATCGTTTTCACACTTCTCATTCTATAACTTTCACTGAAATGATTTGGATGTGATCTGTGGACAATCGTTTATCAAGTTTTCTCCCATAACAGGGCTTGATCTTGAATCGCCAGCAGTGGTTTATTTGCAGTGGTTTATTTTTTTCACCCAATCTGATTGGCTGGCTGAGAGTGGAGAGTTGTGTCATCGCGTTTTGATTGGCTGGCTAAAAATAATTGACGGCACTTTTTTCGGATCGGGGATACCCGAGGTCGTCTAGTACAGGAAATCTCCAGCTGGCAAAACATTACCGTAGTGACGCTGTTTCCATCTCCGAAAGTTGGTGACCCAGAGAAAATTTGCAGGGGAAGAAGGGGTGTGATATGTGGAGATATATCAGAGAATTTTGGCTTCCCAATGTACCAGACTCAGTTGCAGAATGAAAAGACGGTAACCGAAGCGAGATACCGCATCGATATTACGGGACCAGGTGAGCCACTCCGGTACATTCTTTACTGGGCGTTTTCAAGGCCAATAACAAAGCTAATGAAACAGTTAATTAATTCATGTAAAAATACCGATGAAAAAGTGAAACAAACTATATTGTTTTTGGTATTGTTTGAAAAAATAACTATCAACCACATAAGAAATGTCACGTTATAACGAAGTGTTGATCTAGAGCCGATCGATCAAAAACATATTTCATAGTTATATTAAAATAATCGAGACTTAAATTTCAAATTTTAAAACAATTCACACTCAAATAATTTGGATCTAAAGCAATACTCAGTTTTAATGCAGGAAACGATCAATCTTTGCCGGACGGACCGTACATCTCACGACCAAGATGTTTTGCAAACACAGTAGTTGTTTCCCTTTCAGCTGGAGATCAATATAATTAAAGTATTTTGGCCTATTATTAGTTGGTGTTTTTTAAACATGAAGACTTCAATTATTTAAACATACTATCTCAGGACAATTAAGAAACTCATTATGAAAAAACAACACTTTTAAACTTGATTGTATTAAGTCATACCTAAATCTATGTAAACTCAAGAAAGCAATATATGTATTCATTTTTTTCTTAACTATTTTGATTTCTTATAGGGAGCAGACAAAATGATGAAGATAAAGATGGTGGGCACCAGATAATAAATCTAAAAAATTAATTTCACATTATTAGTTCCAGGTAGAAACTCAATATCACAGTTCATTATTTTCAGAATTAACAGACAATGGTACAGAGTATTAAAACATGTAAAATTATGTTTGTCTCAAGTATATTCTTTAAACCAAAGATTTATTATTTACCATGTTTACTGAAAAAAAACCACTTCTTTAATAATGCAATTGTTATATTATCATTGCAGATAAAGAGCCCCAATATGTACAGCTAGCTTAATTTTAATGATAATTATTTAGCATTTCTTGGGATGATAAACTGGGCATATGTCAAAATAAGACATTTTTATTTATTATTCTCCCATTACAAGGTTTACAGTGGTTTATTGGTTTATCACATAATCTAATTGGCTGCCTGGGAGTGGAAAGCTGTGTCGTTATTTTAATCAGGGACCTTAAATTATTCTAATGCGTAAATTTTCAGAACATGGTAAATAAAGAAAAACTCAAATTTATGGGTGATGAAGAAATGACCAACAATAGGTCCTCTTATGCCATTTTACCATAAACCTAATTTCTTTACATTAGCAATGTCTAATTTTAATTTTAATATTTCTTACAAAACAATCATATGCGAACAGGTCACTAAAATACATATTTATTATTATGTCTTGTTTTCATGAAGATAAAAGAAGAAAATGTTAATGTTAAATTGCCTATTATCAGTAAGTCTTAACTTCTAATCTGATGAAATAACAAAATAATAAATTTTGGAGGTAACTGTTGCAGAAAAATAACAATGTAAAATTATAAGGGTATTAAAATGCAAATATTTGTAGAACTACTGAAATGATAATTTATTGTTTACATATAACCTATTATTGTGCTTGTCAAATTCACATTGTTTCTTGTCATTTACAAATGACTCATTTAGTAATATTTTTGGTGTCATGATGTTAAATATTATGTTCAAAAGAAAAAATGTCCATTGATTAAGTTTTTATTTTTATATTTTTAATAAAAACACACGTGCTCACCATGTTCAGGAACAACAAGAAAAAGAAAAAAAAAAGATGACATGAAATAATCATCATTTTACATATTAAAAAAAATATCGTCCAAAAATATTAAAATCCATTAATGGATTTGAGAAGATTGAATCAGCTGATCAGTTGCCTGAGTTGGCATTTATAGTATCTCGCTTGATCAGTCCTGCTGACAGTTCCTTGGGCCCATGTTTTTCGTTAAGAATATTTCACAATATTTAAGACAATATTTAATTTCCTCTTAATTGGGTTAATAACATTTGTTTCTAGCGAACAAATAATCGAATAACGTATTTACATACACTTAAAAGGTGGGCAGAGTAATCCAAAACAATTAACAAATATCAAATCACATTACTAATTTTCAAAACGTTACTCCCATCAGCTTTTAATAGTTAACAAAAAACATAAAATGGCTTGCCTGTAACGTAAAACTCGTGTGAGTTTACCTTTTTACCTGTTTATGGTGCAGTCTTACTGAGCATACTCGGCTTTGGGGAATCCCGAGTGGTTACTAAACACGGGAAATCTTCAACGACGAGCTCAACTTTTTACGGCGTATTGTAATGGGAGAAAAAGGATTAACCACTGTGTTCGGTTGTTACCGAAAAATCTACACACTCGTGATTCATCTGCCACAATTGGAACTCGGCAAAGCCTCGTTCTAATCGTCACAGATTAATCTCTCGTGTGTAGATCTTTCGGTAACAACCGAACACAGTGGTTAATCCTCTATGTACATAGAACGTACCTTTCATCAGGAGGAGGAAGTATAATCTCCATTGTTGTAGGGGGAACCCTGCGTTTTAGACTCGCCATGGTCCGCCCCAGTCTGTTACAGTCTGGGGCCCTTCAGTGCGAGAACATAATCTGAATGTGGTTCACACTGGATATGTATCAGGAACAAAGTGAAGAAGGAACTGATAATGGTTAGTAAAGTAATGGTCGGTAAAAACTTTCAACTGTTCTGCCTTCCTGATTAGGTTAACAGACACAGTGAGTGAGTGAGTTGGGTTTAACGTCGCTTTTAACAATATTTCAGTTATATCGCGGCGTATCAGCTTAATGTGGGAGGAAAACCCGAAGTGATGCAGGTCTCAACCTCAAAATGTTTTATGCTAGACATGTGAAGTGTGGTAAAATGGCGTACGAGTGTAGCTTGGCAACTGCAAAATATACATAAATATGCTCCATGTTATACAATATAGAGCATAATCTATTTTCAGACAGTTACTAGTATATTGATAGTTTGTGAATGAAGACTTCAGGACGTTTTCTTGACAGATGAATAATCCAACTTAAATTCGTGGTATTTTCGTATTTTATTTCCATTTCGAATATAAACAAAAATGAAATCCCAAATAGTCAAACTTTAATCAGATTTTCACAATGAAAATACATTATACAGTTAAACGTATGATGTACCTTAACGGTTTTGCCTTAATGCATACCTGTTTGTACCGGTAGTGCCGTGTGACATTCTCACAGATCCATTGCTTATTCCATGGTCACCCGAAGACACACTGTAAACCCCATTTTCGACATTCAACCATTTTACCTCCACCTCGTCCGATCCAGTATCTTCAATTGGCAGTTCCACCTCCGCGGGTTTATTGAAAGCTCTATCAACTGCATATCGTACAGATAGTATGTCAGATAGAGCATATATTCCCTCACAAACGTCCGGGTCATAAGCTCTGTACCATTCCAGTTTGTTCATGCTGGTCGGCTGAATCTGAAGAAACATCCACAGACTCAAATGCCCGAGAAAGAAGCGCACTTAATATTCCCTTTTTCATGATCAATTTCACTATTCGCATTTATTTATTCCTTTTAATATGGCAGTTTAAACTTGTTCATGCTCAATAGGCTAGATGCTATATTATAATATAAGTTTCATATAATTGGCCACTAATGTTGTCTATACCTGGATGGAAATAGTCATTTCCGTGTCCACGGCTCCATCTGGTACTTCGACTCGAATCCTTTGATCTTTGCTTGAAACGAATGTGTATCCTCTTGGTGTGATATTGATAACCTCTCCACGCTGCCTGGCATACACCACGAAGTAGTGTAAATTCTCTACTTGAAAGCATGCAAGATCATCCTGTGGGCAAAGACCATGCAAAACGGTGAAGTGTAACATGATTGTGTGTGTATTTGTCCAGACATAGAATAGGTGTAACAACAAAATTTGATGACGATTTCTTCTGTGTTGTTATATCATACTGCAATATGTTTAGTGGATAACTCTGCAATTATTATTAGATGATTTATGTCGTATTTCTTATTATTTTACCTCATAATTAGCTTCATCAGACGTCCACGCTTCCCACTTTTTGAAGACCATGAATTGCAACAGATCTCTTTTGTCTAGCTTTGTGGATGGCAGGTGCAGGGGTAGCTGGAGTTTGTATGGTGTATTGTTTACCTGAGGGAAACCATTCCCAACGACCCTGTACAGATCACTGACCATCATGTCATTATCTGTCCGGGAAAACTCATCCAGCATCAGTGTCCTATCTTCCGCACATACAGGCTCAACATGGCAGTCGATGTCAGACGCCCCTGTAGGTACTTTGAGAACTATTCCCTTCCCCAAATCTTGATCCCTGAAGCAAAAGGAGCCATGAACCATGTGGTGTTAATTTCTTTTGTACACATGTGAAATATGTTTAGGTTTAACTCTAGCACACCTAATGTAATTATCTATGGTGGCTGGGAGATATATTCAATTATTACCCAAATCTGGAGAGGGATGGGAATGAACTATTTGGTAATTATGATTGGCTCAATAATTAATTACGTAATTTGATTGGCTGAATCTACTTTTTGTTCGTTTGTAAATCTACAAGCAGTCACAAAAACAATCACCCATGACCATGACCAGAGTTAAACCCAGTGACACAAAACACACTCCTTTTAATATTGAACATGTATTCATTCTTAAGGTAAAATTAGATATGAATCTCATGCATTGTTTTTTGCATTCATATTTTATCATGTTTATGATTACAAACAATTTTGAAAAGTAGATCTGGACATTGGTATAATAACAACAATCAATCCAAGATGGCATTTCTCGCGTCCAGCAAAGGATGAAACAAAACATCGGTTTAGATAATGACCGAAGTCTGACTGTGCAATAGATGTTCTCTTTTCACACAGAAGGTTCGCGATAAGCATATTCATGTACATGTACATGCTAAGCGCGAACCTTCTTTGTGAAAAGAGAACATCCATTGCATCGTCATACAACAAGCATGTGATCCAACGAATATGGCACATTTTCAAAATCATTCCCACTGCTAGAACCTATATTCTGTTTTCGTGATTCATTCAGGGAAACTTCTGTGAAACAAAATTCCATATCATAGAACAGTAAAAACAGTAATTACATCTCAATCCGAAATGAAACGTCGATTTTTGAATGATATTACAACTTGACTTACGTGCCTATGTCCCACTAGAAACATAACGGCTGTCACTGCTCAGCTATAAGGCAGTGCAAATAAGGTCACGTCAGGACAGTGTAATGAACGAAATTGTACTTATGCAAGTGAAAAACTCGGTGTTCTCCTGACGAAAGTTGATCTTGAAAATCACAAACATGATTTTCGATAATCGTATTACTTCGTTGATGTGTGGGACACAATTCGGTCGCTGGATTCTTCTGATTTGATATGAAGTTTGCTGCTAGTAAAATCGAATGACTTTTGTTTTGGTAGCGGTCGACGATTCTTTTCAGTTGTAGTTTTACTGATAGTAAATAGAGGTTATCACGCGAGTGTCTTTTGGGATTGTAAATATCCCGTATTAGGAATAAACATTGTAGTTAGCGACAGTATACTGACTTCGAGCCGAAAAGTCTCATTTTAGCCAAACGCTAGGCAGGACAATAAAAAGTATCATCTTTCAACGTCTTTTGGTATCACGCGGCCGGGAATCGAACCCCCGACCTTTCGGTCGCCGGGTAGACGCTCTACCACAAGACCACGGAAGCAGTTCGATGTCAGATAACTGAGAAATACTACAACGCGACGCAACTTTGTGAACAGTAAAGGCATTAAAACTGGGAAACAAGTGTTGTGCAGCTCTTTCAGACTTGTGGCAACGGTAATATCGTGATGCAAAACAATGAGCACACAAGGCCATTTTACACAAGCTTATCATTGCGTCGTGTACTTGCAGAGCTCTAACCCATTCCTATATATCAATAAATACTCTATGTGATAGATGTTTCGAATAGGTCTCTCTTGGGAAATATATATGTGGTTAACAATATAAAGGAAAGAATTAGAAGGATTTTGAGAAAGAACAGTATCTGCAAGTTTTGAGTGGCAACGGTTTGTCCACAACATGCTAGCATCAGTAAACTTCATCCCCATATTCATAAATTCTTCTCGATGAGACTTGACAGTAACTTGAAACGTTTATTCATTTTTCATGGCATGGGCACGAGGAAACACTGTGCCAGTCTTATGTCACCGTATCTGTTTATAACTTCTACAAGTTTCGGAATACTGGGGATATTGCCTGCTCAGTATCCTGAATGAGGATAGATTGAATGATAGAAAGTCCTTGCATTCCATGCATTACCTGTAATGATGTAAAATGGCTTCTTCTTCTGCTTCTTCGTCTGCTTCTTCTTCTTCTTCTTCTGCTTCGCAATCTGCAGTTGTGAGAGAGATACATGTAGCTTCGAGAGGACTGCGGTCTTCTATTCTGTCACCCTCTCTGATTCTCTGTTCCTCCTCACTGTTCGTCTCCATCTCCTCATCAACCTCCTCCTCCACAAAGCCGTCACTCGTGCTCTCTTCTGAGTAAAGGCTCGACACAGACCTACAGGATACGTGGCATTTCACATTTTAGTAAACAAGAGAACCATGACGACATTGAAATTGTTTATCTGGAACGACATGCAATAGGTACAATATTTAAAGGTATCTGAGCTCATGAAAGCACAATGACATCGCAGTATTTTCAGATCGGACATATGATCCCCTCCTTGCTGATTTGTTTAAATGTGCATATGAATCGATATTTCAGCTCCGATTGACAAAAAACAAGACCTCAAAATGTTTTATGCTAGACATGTGAGGTGTGGTAAAAATATTATTGCCATTTTTTAGTGGTGTGTGTGTCTGCTTCTACTAGTGCTTGTATCAGTCCGAATGCTGATTTTATGGTGCCCAATGGGATACCGTTCCGCAGTTTAGAGACGAGTGTCACTGGTGGGGCAAAAAGGTGTAGTCGAAATTATTCAATTAGCAGAGATTTCTTATGATTGTGGTTTCATTGTGTCGGTATTGTTAATATTACGATACTATATGACAATAAGAGGCTCGAATCTAAAGCTATATGAAGCATTTACTTAAAAGATCACTTACTCTTCAAATTCGCTCGCTTCTCCATCTGTTTGATCATTCCAGTCATGGTTCATTTGAACACGGCAAACGATAGATGAAGTAACACAAATAACTCACAGCCTGATGTTGAAGAATCTGTCACAATATTCACACTTTCATAATCATTAAACAAATACATAGAAGTACTTTTGACCAATGCAAGCAGGCAAAACCTTCATCGTTTTCACACTTTTCATTCTATAACTTTCACTGAAATGATTTGGATGTGATCTGTGGACAATCGTTTATCAAGTTTTCTCCCATAAAAAGGCTTGATCTTGAATCGCCAGCAGTGGTTTATTCGCAGTGGTTTATTTTCTTTCACCCAATCTGATTGGCTGGCTGAGAGTGGAGAGTTGTGTCATCGCGTTTTGATTGGCTGGCTAAAAATAATTGACGGCACTATTTTCGGATCGGGGATACCCGATGTCGTCTAGTACAGGAAATCCCCAGCTGGCAAAACATTACCGTAGTGACGATGTTTCCATCTCCGAAAGTTGGTGACCGAGAGAAAATGTGTGGGGGAAGAAGGGGTGTGATATGTGGAGATATATCAGAGAATTTTGGCTTCCCAATGTACCAGATTCAGTTGCAGAATGAGAAGACGGTAACCGAAGCGAGGTACCGCATCGATATTACGGGACCAGGTGAACCACTCCGGTACATTCTTTACTGGGCGTTTTCAAGGCCAATAACAAAGCTAATGAAACAGTTAATTAATTCATGTAAAAATACCGATGAAAAAGTGAAACAAACTATATTGTTTAACTATTTTGATTTAATATAGGGAGCAGACAAAATGATGAAGATAAAGATAGTGGGCACTAATCAATCTTATTAGGTATTTTTTTTCAAAAACATTTTTTTTTCAACAATGATATACATTTAAATGCATCTTAAAATATATTTTGTATTTTAGATAATAAATCTAAAAATTAATTTCACATTATTAGTTTCAGGTAGAAACTCAATATCACAGTTAATTATTTTCAGAATTAACAGACAATACAGAGTATTAAGACATGTAGAACTAGGTTTGTCTCAAGTATATTCTTTAAACCAAAGATGTATTATTTACCATGTTTACTGAAAAAACCCCACTTCTTTAATAATGCAATTGTTATATTATCATAGCAGATAAAGAGCCCCAATATGTACAGCTAGCTTAGTTTTAATGATAATTATTTAGCATTTCCTGGGCTGATAAACTGGGCATATGACAAAATAAGACATTTTTATTTATTATTCTCCCATTACAAGGTTTACAGTGGTTTATTGGTTTATCACATAATCTAATTGGCTGCCTGGGAGTGGAAAGCTGTGTCGTTATTTTAATCAGAGACCTTAAATTATTCTAATGCGTAAATTTTCAGAACATGGTAAATAAAGAAAAACTCAAATTTATGGGTGATGAAGAGATGACCAACAATAGGTCCTCTTTTGCCATTTTACCATAAACCTCATTTCTTTACATTAGCAATGTCTAATTTTAATTTTAATATTTCTTACAAAACAATCATATGCGAACAGGTCACTAAAATACATATTTATTATTATGTCTTGTTTTCATGAAGATTAAAGAAGAAAATGTTAATTTTGAATTACCTATTATCAGTAAGTCTTAACTTCTAATCTTATGAAATAACAAAAGAATAAAGTTTGGAGGTAACTGTTGCAGTAAAATAACAATGTAAAATTACAAGGGTATTAAAATGCAAATATTTGTAGAACTACTGAAATGATAATTTATTGTTTACATATATACTATGTATTTATGTTTCACACACAATAAATTATTGTGCTTGTCAAATTCACATTGTTTCTTGTCATTCACAAATATGGGGAAATTAGATGACTCATTCAGTAATATTTTTGGTGTCATGATATGTTCAAAAGAAAAAATGTCCATTGAATAAGTTTTAATTTTTAAATTTTTAATAATAACACATGTGCTCACCATGTTCAGGAACAAAAAAAAAAGAAAAAAAGATGACATGAAATAATCATCATTTTACATATTAAATTATTAACTGTAAAACTGGTTTTAAATAGGAAAATTCGTCCAAAAATATTACAAACCATTGATGGATTTGAGAAGATTGAATCAGCTGATCAGTTGCCTGAGTTGGTATTTATAGTATCTTGCTTGATCAGTCCTGCTGACAGTTCCTTGGGCCCATGTTTTTCGTTAACAATATTTCACAATATTTAAGACAATATTTAATTTCCTCTTAATAGTGTTAATAACATTTGTTTCTAGCGAACAAATAATCGCATAACGTATTTACATACACTTAAAAGGTTGGTCGAGTAATCCAAAACCATTAACAAATATCAAATAACATTACTACTTTTTCAAAACGTTACTCCCATCAGCTTTTAATAGTTAACAAAAAACATAACATGAATGCTAACAAGTGGCTTGCCTGTCACGTAAAACTCGTGTGAGTTGTCTTCGCTAGATCCTTTTTACCTGTTTATGGTGCAGTTGTCTCACTGAGCATACTCGAAAACGAGGCTGGGGGGAATCCCGAGTGGTTTTCGGTAACAACCGAACACAGTGGTTATCGTGACGGATTAATCACTCGCGATCGTGTGTAGATCTTTCGGTAACAACCGAACACAGTGGTTAATCCTCTATGTAAATAGAACGTACCTTTCATCCGGAGGAGGAAGTATAGTCTCCAATCTTGTAGGGGGAACCCTGCGTTTTGGACTCGTCATGGCCCGCCTCAGTCTGTCACAGTCTGGGGCCCTTCTGTGCGAGAACATAATCTGAATGTGGTTCACACTGGATATGTATCAGGAACAAAATGAAGAAGGAACTGATAATGGTTAGTAAAGTAATGGTCGGTAAAGACTTTCACCTGTTCTGACTTCCTGATTAGGTTTACAGACACAGTGAGTGAGTGAGTTGGGTTTAACGCCGCTTTTAACAATATTTCAGTTATATCGCGGCGTATCAGCTTAATGTGGGAGGAAAGCCCGAAGTGATGCAGATCTCAGACGTTTACCACTTCGGTGAAATCTACGAGTACGTTTATGGTGCTGACGAACCTAGAAACATAATCAGGGTGAACCGGGATTCGAACCAACAATCACAGGTTTCTGATGTGCCCAAGGGACGCAACCCTGCACAGACAATAGCGGCGCCTTAGACGACTGGGCTACCTGTGCCCCCTACATACACTGAGGTAACATTCCAGTTCAGGGCATTATTACCAGATTGTCTTTATGATTCCTCAGTTCATCAGAACATGAGCACACGTCGCTATATAAGTGCAATAATCTTGGACGCGACGTTAAACCCAATTTCACCTCACCTCACATGAGCTATACCAGCTTAATTCAACCTGGAAAGTGTATGCTATATTATGATAACGGATTCTGAAAACAGGGGACAAGCGGGACCGAGCATGTTGAAGAAGCAATCCCTGAGAGCGAGTGAATGAGATGGGTTAAAGGCATTTTAAACAGTATTGCAGCTCATAGGCAGATCCAGATGGTGGACCAGGGGGTCAGGACCCCTGTACTAGGTTGTAGGCAGTAAAACTATGTGAGAGGACCGCCTCCGTGGTCTAGTGGTAGAGCGTCTGCACGGAGAGTCCGGGGTTCGATCCCCGGTCGCGTCATACCAAAAGACGTTAAAAGATGGTACTTGTTGTTACCCTGTCTGGCGCTCGGTGTCAGTATACTGTGTCTGAGTGGGGTATTCATGTTAAACTGCGGCATGGTATCTCAGTGGGCTAACACTATATTAAATATTTCTAAACTGTCGTTTCCAGTCTCTGTAATCCATGTCTATGTACTTGGTGCTTTCCGTGAATTTCACCAGAATATTGAACTGCTGAAGTGAAGTGAAAAATACGATGTCGCCACGGCGAAATGTTTCAGGTCTGTTTGAGACTTTGCATGTTGCGATTATAGATCAGTATCCATACATTACTACAACTCTGATAATCTTTGCACCCTGACAGTTTCATCTGCACCGACACAATATTCATTCATTTCAATCCACATCTAAGGTTTACAGCCATTAACAATCGTTTGAATGTACACGCATACATAATCCGAAAAAAACCATTGTGCTTCTTGATCTAAACTTGATGACAACACGCCTAAATGCAATCCTGTACAATTAGACTGATCATCAAACACGTTCATTTTGACAATACAATGGTTATATAAAATTCTCAATATTATGCTACTGAAATGAACACTATCAGAAACCATTCAATCATTGCAAGACCTACTTGGAAACCGAGGGTGCGTTGCAAAGCCCTAATCGCTTGCAGGCGATGTACAGCGATTTGCCCAACAACGGTGCGCTACCTTTCAGCCGCTTGCAAGCGAAACAATCGCTGGCTGAGGTAGCTTCGTTCTCAAACCAAAATTGCGGCTGACTTTGACACCGGATAAAGAAATTCTTGACTGGATCAACGAGGAAATGAACAAAGGCAGTTAACACCCCATCATCCTCAGTCTGCTCCACATCTTCAAAGTAGTGCCTTCTATTACGTTCTTCATTACGTCAAGGCAACCAAGCGGTAGTTGCGCCGCCAATTTGGAAGAGTGCGCAAGCGCTTCGAACTGTTGCAGACTCCGGGATGAGCGATTAATTCGCTTTGTCTAAGCGATTCGTGGCTTGCAACGCGCCCCTACACGACCAAAGCCAACGTGCAAATTGAAGAAACTGAAATTCAAAACGTCAACTCCAGAGAATAATCATTTCGATTATCTGACGAAACCATTGGGCGTAAAAAACAAACTTTTGATGAAACTTATATGAATGGACAAGTGGCAATCAGTGATGAAAGCAAGTATTCGCGAAAAGGGTAGACATGTCTTGCTCTTCTGGTGGAGGTATGCATTAGGCTTGATACTGATGGTAACGAATATGGGAATAGTGAAAAATATAGGGAAATAAGCTTTACTGTCAGTACATTTGAAATAGCGCGCGCACAAATTCAACACGTCAGAATTAAATGTTGTGAGTGTTTGTTTGCATTGTTCACAACGCGTATTTGGAAGATAAAGAAGGGAAACCATGATAGCATATCATTTTACTTGTTTTTGAGGCTTGAAGGTTCGAAAATTAACCTGTTTCAAGATGAAAAGATCGAGGAAGGCAGGATGTGTTTACATTCAGAAAAGAGACTAGACGTCTCTTCACGGAGGGAAGGTGACAGGGTGCGAGGGGGTAAAACAGTTGTGGAACTCTCTTTGGAATAAGGTGTGTTTAGTTAATAAAGAGTCTACCCGGAGAGCGGAAGGTCGGTGGTTAGTTCCCCAGTCACGTCATGCCAAAATACGTTAAAGGATGGAATGTTTAACTCTGCCCAGGTAAAAACATTCGGCTCGGAGTCAGTACACTCTGTCTGAGCGGGGTATCCATGGTAAACTACGGCATGGTATCTCGGTGCCTTGGCACAAAAACCGGCAGCAACACACAGACATGTGCATGCTCGTCGCTATATAAGTGAATCTTCTTGAAGGCGGCGTCAAACCCCTCTTCACCTCACTTACTAACTTAAAAACTTACTTACGTACTTACTTACTTAATTAAAAAAAAACAGTTTGTACCTAGCGGCGCAAAGGTTCCTGGTTTGAATCCCGTCCGGGCAGGGCTGGAACCGGCTTTACAGTCGGCTATGCCCTAGTTCAGCGTGCAAGGGTACACTCGGTGTCTGTGCAGTGTCCAGCTCGGTTAGCCAGTTGCAGGCTGTGCTTTTATGTTTCAATGCACCACATAGGCATAAATATGATGCTCGTTTTCTCCTGGCCCCCTACACCCGTCACATTTTTTTTAAAGCAAGCAACTAACTGTGATGTCTGTTTATTATGCCCCCTTTTCGCATTTCGAAAAAGCAGAAAACACTGAGAAACACTGGCTACAGATAAACGACCCTCACACTCGTAGACAATATCTGCTATACACAGAAGGCAAACCTTCACTCTGGTAGAAAATATGTGTTATACACAGAAAACACCGAGCACTCAACCTCCAGATAACAGACCCTCACACTTTTAATTAAAATACATGTTACACAATGTACACAGAAACAACAACGCCCGGGCTCCAGATAACAGACCCTCACACTAGTAGACGATATCTATTATACACAGTAAACTCTGAGTGCTCAGGCCCTAGATAACACTGGTGGAACATATCTGTCTTCATAGAACACGTGTGGAAGGCGAACTTTGGTAGAATGAAACAAGGAAAGATCGCCACAAAGCAAGTTAGGGCGTATGAGAATACGAAGAACTGAAAGAGATACTTTGTGCAATTGTTTGAGAAGTACAGTTCCCGGTGCCCCTCCCAATGGTAATATCAGTCTAGTGGTTAATGGTACCCTGGTTTCAGTTTTACACAATGTACTAATTCTAGACAAAGGCTGGAATTGGATGCCAGAGCAAGAAGTCCAGTCTCTCTTGGAAATGAAATTTTTAATCAGTATTTTATCAGTAATTTTATGTACTGATTAGTAAGGAAGGCTACGTAGCCTGCTTAGGATTAAGAAGCTAATTTGCAAGTAAGTTTATAATAAGTTAATTTGGAATACAAGTCTCGTTTCCCTTGTCATTAACTTTTGGAGGGAGTGGTGGGGTGGGGAGCGTTCGCTCGTAACGCCTTGGGTCCGGGTTCGATTTCTCAGATGGACACAATATGTGACGCCCATATCTGGTGTACCCTGTCGTGATATTTCTGGGGTAGTGCTAAAAGCGGCGTAAAACCATACTCACTCACTCACTATCATTTGAAGATGCAAATCGTAATGCTCTCTGTTGTCTGATTTTTTAAAGAAGCGTAAACAGAAACAGAAATAGAAGAGAGTAACACACACACACACACACACACACACACACACACACACACACACACACACACACACACACACACACACACACACACACACACACAAAAACACAAACAAACACACACACACACACACACACACACACACACACACATATATAGGGGTAGGGGGTTGACGGTAAGGTAAGGTGAATTAGTTTGACGTCGCTTCAAGATCCTTGCATTTACACAGCGACGCACTCGTACCAGTCCAGGGTATTGTCGGTGTCTAAGTGCGAGACCATTGAGACACCATGCCGCAGTTTAACATGGATATCCCTCCCAGACACAACATACTGTCTCCAAGCCACCAGTCCTTGTTTGTATCCATTAAATACCGCACGCCATTCAGGGTAACAACAGTTACCACATTTTAACGTCTCTTGGCATGAGGCGGCCGGAGATCGAACCACCAACCTTCCACTTTCCGGGCAGAGTTGACGGTACGAAGACCAATCATTCCCCCAAGGCCACCGCAGCAACAAGACTGTACGAGGCTTAAGTAGGTTGCTATCTGAAGTGACTGGCCAGTTAATACATACTTACCTAAAACGTTGTATTTTTGCAATGTATCCTCCCTCATCTATAAAGGACATTAAAACGGAATATGTAAGGAGTCAAATACAAAATAACTAGAATTGGCTAGAAGGAAAGGACAATGTCATTTTACAGTACGTATGGACACAATAAAGCAATCTAATGTTTCAATAGAAACTTGGGATCACTTGAATAGCGAGTTTATAATGCTTAAGAAGGCACAGCATGACTACTTCGGGGGCAACTACGCTGATAACCCCGAGTAGTCCACTGCTGAATCCAGCCAGATGTTTCAGCAGCTGCTGGTCGTTATTATCAACGTCAATCAATAACAGTAAAGTGATTGACATGGATGTACAGAAACACATTTCATTGGGTGCGTGTTTCATATAAGATTGTTTGCATGTTCTTACGGCTTTCCTTGATCAACACCATGCGTTGGTTTTGTTTTCCAACATTCTGATGAAACTTCACGAACAATAATGTGACATAACCAAAGGCCTCTACGATTTTATATGATTACGTGCCGTGCCTGACGGCGTAGGAAATAACTCATAGATCAACAACAGGTAGATTATTTGAAGGTCACCATGATATAGCTTGAATATTATCGGCATCGGCGTAAAACAATACACATACAAGCACTAATTATTCAGGGGGGCGGTCGGGGTGCCTGTTGGATAAAGCGTTCGCACGCCACACCGAAGACCCGGGTTCGATTCCCGACATGGGTACAATGTGTGGAGCCCATTTCTGGTGTACCCCGCCATGATATTGCTGGAATATTGCTAAAAGCAGCGTAAAACCATACTCACTCACTCACTCATTATTCAGGATAAATGTGTGTATAAGTTATAGTTGTCAGCAATTGATATAACCAAAGTAACACTTGTATTCAGTTTTAACAATGTTTCACTAAACATTACGAACTTAAAACTTACCGCATAGGCAGCCATGTCAAACCTCGATATGTACGTTACAATGCAGCCAGACAACCTACTAGGAAGTTGACGGCTTGCAATCTCTAACACGGGTGGTATTGCTATGCACACGGGTAAAATTATCGATTGGGCTGAAGTTCTATCGCAATATCAAAGTCTACATTGACCTCGTCGATAAATATGTACATAGTAGATACGTGTGTGTAAACAGGTTAAATCAAATGAATCACGTTTTGTTCTGTTTTAGGTCATCCGTCAGTATACGATACAGTTCATCGTATTGAGAAGAGAAGCACAAATTCCATATAATTACCCCATGTTATTGAACAATGACAGTGAACAATTTATGATAAAATAATTCACATTTTTATATTAATTTGTGTTTATATTTTGCACATATTTGCCATATATTTCATGTAATTATTTCTATACTTTATTTGAATGTTTATATTTTGCACATATTTGCCATATATTTCATGTAATTATTTCTATACTTTATTTGAATGCTTATATTTTGCACATATTTGCCATATATTTCATGTAATTATTTCTATACTTTATTTGTATGTATATATTTTGCACATATATGCCATATATTTCATGTAACATTCAAATGTCACTTTCATTACCCATCATGTCAAGGCCAAGCTGACCAAGCAAAACTAATTAACATCAACCATATGCTATCGCCAGTGTCTCCCTAAAACTCCAATCTATTGATTGATCTATTGATTGGATTTTTAAGTAGACACTGGCGATAGCATATGGTTGATGTTAATTAGTTTTGCTAGGTCAGCTCGGCCTTGACATGATGAAATATATCATGGCAAATATGTGCAAAATATAAACATACAAATTAATATAAAAATGTGAAATATTTTATCATAAATTGTGCACTGTCACACATGTCTTACACGTTTACTACTTTTGTGAAATACACGAGCACGGATATTGTTATGACGAACCTAGGTATATAGTCGGGATAGCCGGAATTCGAGCCAACGATCTGTGGCGAGTCCAGGGGACGCAACTCTCCACCTGGATCAAACACTTGATGCACCTGGATCAAACACTGGGTGCACCTGGATCAATAAATCGGTGCACCTGGATCAAACACTCGGTGCACCTGGATCAAACACTTGGTGCACCTAGATCAAACAATCGGTGCACCTGGATCAAACACTCGGTGCACCTGGATCAAACACTTGGTGCACCTAGATCAAACAATCGGTGCACCTGGATCAAACACTCGGTGCACCTGGATCAAACACTGGGTGCACCTGGATCAAACACTCGGTGCACCTAGATCAAACACTCGGTACTACTGGATCAAGCACTTGGTGCACCTGGATCAAACACTCGGTGCACCTGGATCAAGCACTTGGTGCACCTGGATCAAACACTCGGTGCACCTAGATCAAACACTCGGTGGACCTGGATCAAACAATCGGTGCACCTAGGTCAAACACTTGTTTCTCCTGGGAACCCAATGCACAGGGCACGGGGACCTACTCTTGAACGGAACCGGCACATAGGGTCACTAGGACCTATTCTTGACCGGAACCCATACATGTGACACCAGGCAACCTTCCTAACAGCGATGAAACTGCTATCCTGCGGTCTAAAGCCTGCACGTTGCTGTATAGAGTTGCCTCCCTTAGTTGTGCCAGAAACCGCTGATCGTTTGATCGAATCCCATATTTACCCCGACTATGGTCGTTTGTTTGTTAACACCATACATGTGCTAGTAGGATTCACCGAAGTGGTATACGTGAACGACCTTGGTCACTTCGATCTTTCCTTCCACATGAACAACACATCCTACAAGAAATCAACTACTGCTAAAGCGACACTAACATATTTACTCACCTTCCCAAGAGTTCGTACACTTGATATTAACGGGCGGCCATTGTCACGTAAGCCTGACATGATTAGAGCAAGGCGTACTGACTGAAGATAACTTTTAAAGTTAATTTATATTAAATGTCAGACTGGGTGTTTATGGTAGCGTGTAAATACAAATACAACGTGCTTATCGTGCACGGCGCAGTGGGACCTATTCTACACAAGAACCCGGGTACAGGGCACTGGGACCTATTCTACACAAGAACCCGGGTACAGGGCACTGGGACCTATTCTACACAAGAACCCGGGTGCAGGGCACTGGGACCTATTCTACACAAGAACCCGGGTACAGGGCACTGGGACCTATTCTACACAGGAACCCGGGTACTGGGACCTATTCTACACAGGAACCCGGGTACAGGGCACTGGGACCTATTCTACACAAGAACCCGGGTACAGGGCACTGGGACCTATTCTACACAAGAACCCGGGTACAGGGCACTGGGACCTATTCTACACAAGAACCCGGGTACAGGGTACTGGGACCTATTCTACACAAGAACCCGGGTACAGGGCACTGGGACCTATTCTACACAAGAACCCGGGTACAAGGTACTGGGACCTATTCTACACAAGAACCCGGGTACAGGGCACTGGGACCTATTCTACACAAGAACCCGGGTACAGGGCACTGGGACCTATTCTACACAAGAACCCGGGTACAGGGTACTGGGACCTATTCTACACAAGAACCCGGGTACAGGGCACTGGGACCTATTCCATACTAGAACCCGGGTACAGGGCACTGGGACCTATTCTACACTGGAACCCGGGTACAGGGCACTGGGACCTATTCTACACTGGAACCCGGGTACAAGGTACTGGGACCTTTTCTACACAGGAACCCGGGTACAGGGCACTGGGACCTATTCCATACTAGAACCCGGGTACAGGGCACTGAGACCTATTCTACACTGGAACCCGGGTACAGGGCACTGGGACCTATTCTACACTGGAACCCGGGTACAGGGCACTGGGACCTATTCTACACTGGAACCCGGGTACAGGGCACTGGGACCTATTCTACACTGGAACCCGGGTACAAGGTACTGGGACCTTTTCTACACAGGAACCCGGGTACAGGGCACTGGGACCTATTCCATACTAGAACCCGGGTACAGGGCACTGAGACCTATTCTACACTGGAACCCGGGTACAGGGCACTGGGACCTATTCTACACTGGAACCAGGGTACAGGGCACTGGGACCTATTCTACACTGGAACCCGGGTACAGGTCACTGGGACCTTTTTCTACACTGGAACCCGGGTACAGGGCACTGGGACCTTTATACATGCTCGTAGTAGAGCTGACTATGTCTTGGGTACAGGGCACTGGGACCTATTCTACACAGGAACCCGGGTACTGGGACCTATTCTACACAGGATCCCGGGTACAGGGTACTGGGACCTATTCTACACAAGAACCCGGGTACAGGGCACTGGGACCTATTCCATACTAGAACCCGGGTACAGGGCACTGGGACCTATTCTACACTGGAACCCGGGTACAGGGCACTGGGACCTATTCTACACTGGAACCCGGGTACAAGGTACTGGGACCTTTTCTACACAGGAACCCGGGTACAGGGCACTGGGACCTATTCCATACTAGAACCCGGGTACAGGGCACTGGGACCTATTCTACACTGGAACCCGGGTACAGGGCACTGGGACCTATTCTACACTGGAACCCGGGTACAGGGTACTGGGACCTATTCTACACAAGAACCCGGGTACAGGGCACTGGGACCTATTCCATACTAGAACCCGGGTACAGGGCACTGGGACCTATTCTACACTGGAACCCGGGTACAGGGCACTGGGACCTATTCTACACTGGAACCCGGGTACAAGGTACTGGGACCTTTTCTACACAGGAACCCGGGTACAGGGCACTGGGACCTATTCCATACTAGAACCCGGGTACAGGGCACTGGGACCTATTCTACACTGGAACCCGGGTACAGGGCACTGGGACCTATTCTACACTGGAACCCGGGTACAGGGCACCGGGACCTATTCTACACTGGAACCCGGGTACAGGTCACTGGGACCTTTTTCTACACAAGAACCCGGGTACAGGGCACTGGGACCTTTATACATGCTCGTAGTAGAGCTGACTATGTCTGTTTATAAGGGTTAACACAGGGATATACCATGCCGCAGTTTAACATGAATACCCCACTCAGAGTATACTGACTCCGAGCCGACCAGTCCTTGTTTTAGCCCCTTAATGCCGAGCGCCAGGCAGGGTAACAACAAGTACCATCTTTTTACGTCTTTTGGTATGACGCGGTCGGGGATCGAACCCCGGACCTTCCGCTCTCCGGGCGGACGCTCTACAACTAGACCACGGATGCGATCCTCGTTTACACAGGATGCTCGATTGTACCTCAAACTTTGTGGAAGATAGACAACAAAGGATGTAGCTGCTTGAATATTGCTCGACAAAAAAGAAAGTGGATGATTGGCAAGTTAAAGTCATCCCTCTTGTCAAACAGTCATCATTTTCAGGACATAACATCAGGGATGAAGCAGTTATTCATGAAACAGAACGAACCTAACATGAAGTGGAGTTTTATTGTTTGTTTGTTTGCTTGTTGTTTAACGCGGCATTCAGCAATATTCAAGCTGTATGACTGCGGTCTGAATATAATCGAGTCACTCTAGTGATCGTCATCATGCGCATCGATCTAGGCAACTAGGATACGATGACATGCATAAATTAAGTCAGCGAGCCTGTTCACAAGATCCCGTTAGCATAGTGGCCCATGACCGATTCTAACCTGGATCTTCACAGGTCTGGTGTGGGATTGGGATTTTGTGGGGAACGCATGCAAAGCAAATGACAACGTGTGATAGAATTTATTAACCAAGTGTGTTTTCGTAACGTAAATAACATATAACAGGAATAAAAACTTGTATTATGCGAAGGCTGGAGCCGCAGGAATGAATATTGTTCAACATTAAGAGAAAGCTGAAGTTATCCTTCTTGTCATACTGTGGAGAATCTGTTTGTCAATCTGAATCTAAACATGAAACAGACGAAACAGCTGCAGTGATACACCAGAAACACCCCAGCAAGTATCATATCAAGGGAGAGCACTCGTCACCAGATCTATGCTTCACAGGCCATGCTGCGTGTTCTGTTGCCCTGTCCTTCTGATAGAAATACGACCATCTGCTCACCAAATACTAATACATGACCGTCAAAGGTTGTCCGTGTCAAAAACGGTTCATATACGAAGTCCCAAAAGAAACGCAAATCTCATGTTGCAAATTTCGATCTCTACAATATCCAATATCTTCTGGTCATTTTTGGATTCACACACTGAACACTGAACATTAGGTATAAACAATCGTCGAGTACTGGGCATAAATGAAGCTGGTATGACGGCCACACGAGTAGCGAGAGAGCTACAGGCTCACCCCACTAAGTCTACCATCTTATTGACAAACTTTGCGCAGGATTGCCAAAGGAGCGGACGCCCATGGGTTCTCGCCCATCATCTAGGCAACTGGGATACGATGACATGCATAAATTAAGTAAAAACAGGGTTCTCGCCCATCATCTAGGCAACTGGGATACGATGACATGCATAAATTAAGTAAAAACAGGGTTCTCGCCCATCATCTAGGCAACTGGGATACGATGACATGCATAAATTAAGTAAAAACAGGGTTCTCGCCCATCATCTAGGCAACTGGGATACGATGACATGCATAAATTAAGTAAAAACAGGGTTCTCGCCCATCATACTTGCGCCAACGCCACCTTCCAGCGGTAACTACTGCCAGACAGACAGTTGGAACCCACCACAGACCTGTGTCAGGTGCCGACGTCCAGAAAGAATGGTGTGTGTAGAGAGAACTGTTACTTTCTGTTTGTATTTGATAAAGAAGTGTTTCAATTCGGGGTCATGAAATCTATCGCGTATCTATCATCTATGTAGAGCATATCCGTCGCGTTATTCATTGCCCGTTTTCGTTCATTAAGGAATCTTGAACGTCACCCCAAAAAGCGTACCCTAGTTGTTATCAACATTTATTCGTTCAACCATACAGGATCTTTAGTTGAATATTTCAACAATACATCCTATGATACAAAACAGTTTTGTCAAAGAAATTCCATATTTCAAATTCAGGAGTATGTGCAACGCAACGCAGATGATATATTTGTGTCAGTGTGGTATTTGAATACCACCAGTATAGCCAGCTCGTATACCAAACTGTAACGTGTGGCGTCTTGACACTTTTCATGCACCACATTTGCAATTTGTCTCCCCGCACCCTTGACTATTTGGTTTGAGTAACATCCGACGGCAACGCCACACTTGTGTATAAAATCTGTTCGACACTCTCCATCTTGGTGAGTGAAGTGGGTTCTGTGAATACGCCACAATCGACACGTATCAAATCTGTTCCACACTCTCCATCTTGGTGAGTGAAGTGGGTTATGTGGATACGCCACAATCGACACGTATCAAATCTGTTCCACACTCTCAATCCTGGTGAGTGAAGTGGGTTCTGTGGATACGCCACAATCGACACGTATCAAATCTGTTCCACACTCTCCATCTTGGTGAGTGAAGTGGGTTATGTGGATACGCCACAATCGACACGTATCAAATCTGTTCCACACTCTCCATCTTTGTGAGTGAAGTGGGTTCTGTGGATACGCCACAATCGACACGTATCAAATCTGTTCCACACTCTCCACTCCGAACATAAACCTGATAAAACTGATAGTAAAATAACTCGTTCACTGGCTGATTGATGTTCCATGAAATATTGAATCCTCAATCTTAACATATTGCTTTGCTCTCCATTCAGGGGAATACATCTATTTTCAAGTGCAGACTGAAAACTGTCTCAAACAATTTTCCTTGCACATACACACACCTCCAGAACACCCAGGGGACAAAACGTGGAATTTGGGTCGAGAGAACATTTTGGGAATGTCGATATTGCACAAATACTATCGGTGTCAGTCTATAAGATTGTCCATAACCTAGCGTGCTCTACAATATCACTGAACTGGACCCTGACTCTGACCAAGTCATGACGGTGGTAAGATGGAGGTTGATTGATGCCTAGCTTGCTCTGCAATATCACTGAACTGGACCCTGGCTCTGACCAAGTCATGACAGTGGTCAGATGGAGGTTGATTGATGCCTAGCTTGCTCTACAATATCACTGAACTGGACCCTGACTCTGACCAAGTCATAACGGTGGTAAGATGGAGGTTGATTGATGCCTAGCGTGCTCTACAATATCACTGAACTGGACCCTGACTCTGACCAAGTCATGGCAGTGGTCAGATGGAGGTTGATTGATGCCTAGCTTGCTCTACAATATCACTGAACTGGACCCTGGCTCTGACCAAGTCATGACGGTGGTCAGATGGAGGTTGATTGATGCCTAGCTTGCTCTACAATATCACTGAACTAGACCCGACAGTCCAGTGACTCTGACCAAACCATGACAGTGGTAAGATGGAGGTAGGTTGATGCCACGTCAAGATCTAATCGTAAACATCCTGGTTATCAATTTCCCTTTTTTCTTTTCTGGCTTTAGCTATTTTCAAAGCCAGATCTCTCCTCCCTATATGCTGCAAAGCCACCTCTATGTCCTTGATGACGTCACAGTCGTCCTTGGTTCCCCGGACGCCCTGGCACCACGTCAGTAACAGCAGAAACTCCTCTGGCATGTACTGTTTGTTTGCTTCTCGCCTGATGATAGTGATTCTGTCTGCAGACATTCCTAGATCTATCATTACTCTTTGACACACCTCCATTGTAAGCAGGGATGACAACCTCATCATACTCTTCTGTGAAAGTAGAGGATGGCCTGGGAAACAAGTAGACAATGTATACATGATTATTTGTTTTCCAAATTAGATGCGGGGCGGTCCGGTAGCCTAGTGGTTAAGGCGTTCGCTCGACACGCCGAAGACCCGGGTTCGAATCCCGACATGGGTACAATGCGTGAAGCCCATTTCTGGGGCCCCCCACCGTGATATTGCTGGAATATTGCTAAAAGCGGCGTAAAATCATACTCACTCACTCCAAACTAGATACACACTTTTTATTTATATCCCATAAGTTACATGTTGTGTGAGTGAGTGAGTTTGGTTTTACGTCACTATTTGCAATATCTCTGCAATAACCCCACAGGCGACATCAGAATAGACTCACACACTTTACCCATGTGGAGAATCGAACCCGGCCTTTGGCGTGACGAGCGAACGCTTCAACCACTAGGCTACCCAATCGCACCTAAAGTGGTGTAAGGTCATGAAGGGCATCAACACGATATTTGGTATATTTTGCAGTTACTCTGAGCTACAGGGGGCACGGGTGGCCCAATCGTCTAAGGCGCCGCGATTCGCTGTGCAGAGATGCGTCCCTTGGGCACATCAGAAACCTATGATTGTTGGTTCGAATCCCGGTTCGCCCTGATTATGTTTCTAGGTTTGTCAGCACCATACCCGTGCTCGTGGGTTTCACCGAAGTGGTAAACGTCTGAGACCTGCATCACTTCGGGTTTTTCTCCCACATCAAGCTGACACGCCGCTATATAACTGTAATACTGTTAAAAGCGCCGTTAAACCCAACTCACTCACTCACTCTGAGATACAAAGATGTAATCTGCAATACTGCATTGGGAAATAATAGCATGTTGATCCCATGCCACGGTTTGAATAATTATAAAAAGCACATTTAATGGTCTGTCAAATAATTTGATATGGTATAAATTAAAAGGACAATGAAGGTGTTTGTTGTTTATCGCCGCATTCAGCAATATTCCAGCTCTATGACGGACCTCTGTAAATAAACGAGCCCGAACCAGACAATCCAGTGATCGATATCATGAGCAACGAGATCCACGCCGTTTCCCATTACATATATGATGACATTGTATGATACGGTATTATGTGATATCCCGAGTACTATGACAAGTGTTGGTTCATAAGCTTGCATTACATGTCCATATTACATCAAATTATTTTCAAGTTACTCTATATCACGATTTCACATAATCCCACTAACTTTAACAATAGATTGCGGACCCGTGACGATCCGGGGTAGGATAGGTCCTTAGCAACCCATGATTGCAGTAAAAGGCGACAATGCTTGTCCTAAAAGGCGACTAACGGGATCGAGTGGTCAGGCTCGCTGACTTGGATGGTGCATGTCATCGTATCCCGATTGCGTGGATCGATGCTCATGCCGTCAATCACTGGATTGTCTTGTCCAGACTCGATTATTTACAGACCGCCCTCATATGGCTGTAATATTGCTCAGTGCGGCGTTAAACAACAAACCAACAGTAAACACGGAAACTTATAGTGTGGATGATCGTGAAATAACACTCGTGGTGTAACAACACTAGTAATAACGTGTGGTAATAACAATTTCTTTCGAAATTTGTGCCAGATTAATTTATCAACACACAGACTTAAAGTCGTTTCGAAGCACACACTCATGTAATTATCTGAACGTATGGCCTATGCTGAAATCTTCGATACCCTCGCGTTATGACGCTCGGCTTATCGTACACGAGGTCACGCTGCGTGAAAACTATTTGGGCATTCTGCCAGAATGTACCCCGCGTTTGATCCCTTGCTTTTTACACACGATGGAAGAACAACATAACAGTATTACTGGAACTACAGTATTATGTAACACATCTGAACCATAACAACAACATAAACAACAACAACGACGACGACACAACAAATTAGTCACCTACCCATAGTCTACTTGCTATAATCTGTATCTGTGCTCAAACGGACCCCACTTCCTGTTGACCATGCTGCTCGAACACGTGACAACAACACGTGGTTGCTAAGATACATTGTCAACCGTCACTCACATTTAGTGAGTGAAGCGTGAACGTTACTTTCTGCAGGACCGGCCATTCTGGTAGCGTTATACATTAGTTTGAAAACGTAATATATTTCAACTGTATGTATTCTGTCATGCTCGGGTTGTATGAAGAAGATATTAATGTGTGCACCAGTGAAGTATAAGAGACATTTTACCCTGAAATGTGAAATCCAACTTAAATGTAAAATCCCACTTAAATGTGAAATCCCACTTAAATGTAAAATCCCACTTAAATGTAAAATCCCACTTAAATGTAAAATCCCCCTTAAATGTGAAATAGACCCGTGAAGATCCGGGGTAGAATAGGTCTCCAGCAACCCATGCTTGCCGTAAAAGGCGACTATGCTTGTCGTAAAAGGCCTAACGGGATCGGGTGGTCAGTCTCGCTGACCTGGTTGGTGAATGTAATCGATCCCAATTGCGTGGATCGATGTTCATGATGTCAATCACTGGATTGTCTGGTCCAGACTCGATTATTTACAGACCGCCGTCATATGGCTGGAATATTGCTGAGTGCGGCGTTAAACAACAAAGAAACAACAAAACATAAATTTGAAATTCGCACTGAAAAATGTATGTTTGTGAAAAAATATTAGTAATACCATCAAAGTTATGGACAGAAAGATAGGCAGGGACTTTACATGTTAGAAATGAGATGAAATGGTGTTTAACGTCGCGTCCAAGATTATTGCACTTGTATTGCGAGTGCGTGTGTGTGGCAGCTTGTACTAGTCCGGACTATAGCCGATTTGATAGAGCTAGCCCACAGAGAGACCATATGCTTGTCGTGAAAGTAGACTACGGTAAATTGTGTACCCTGGCTGATAGCGGATCCTTGACCCGGATAGCGTAGATAACTGCTCAAGTCTTCAATCTCTAAGTTGTCAGGATGAGGTTCACCTGTCTACTAATCTTCCTATAGTTGAGACCGCCTCCGTGGTCTAGTGGTAGAGCGTCCGCCCTTGAGCAGAAGGTCCGGGGTTCGATCCCCGGCCGCGTCATACCAAAAGACGTTAAAAGATGGTACTTGTTAGTACCCTGTCTGGCGCTCGGCATTAAGGGGCTAAAACAAGGACTGGTCGGCTCGGAGTCAGTATACTGTGTCTGAGTGGGGTATTCATGTTAAACTGCGGCATGCTATCTCAGTGAGCTAGCACTATAAATCGGCATCAGTCCGGACTTGTACAAGCAGCCACACAAACACACACACGTACATGCACGTCGCTATATAAGTGCAATAATCTTGGACGCGACGTTAACCCCAATTTCACCTCACCTCACCTGTTTAAGTGCAATAATCTTGAACGCGAAGTTAACCCATTTCACCTCACCTCACCTCCTAAAGTTGATATACACGGTTAACTGTGACCTGAAGCACTCTGTAAAATCGAACCCGGGCTTCACATTAAAGTGCCGATTCCCTCCCCCTGATTTACCCATCTGCACTACAAATTAAGGAGACCAGTGACACCGTTTGTCTGTTTCATATTTAGATCTAAGCAGAAAGATTCATTGTGACAAAACACTCCTCGCAAGGCTGTATGACAAGTGGGACGACTTCAACTTCCCAATAGTCAGATTTCCCTTAATGTCAACTAATATTCCTGCAGCTCCAGCCCTTAGTGTCTTAGTGTCTACATTTCACAACTTTGGAAATACACTCGGCAATCTTTCTACCAAGATTTCAAAGAGTGTCATACAACTCCTTGCTCAGAGATTGTTTGAAAATGTTTTATGGAGGAAATTTCCAAATTTGACGCATCAGTGACAAAAATGATGTCCGATGCAATTCTCTATTTTCCCTTGTTCCATATGTTTCAGTGATTTTCAGGCGAACTATTCACTTGCCTTTGTATGTGTTTGTGACGGGTGCCAATGGTGGGGCAGGATACGTTTACCTTTTCGCGAACACCTGGTATTATCACAATTTGATAGTGATTCTTAAACGCATACTAATGACACAGAGACATACAATGGACCCTGTTTTTGGTTGAGATTTCCTATGAATATGGGAAGGGTATTTGTCGAGACTATTTTGTATATTCCTGCCTGTTTGCCAGCTAATCCCTTCATTGTGTCTCCTCTCTGAGAAACACATCTGTAATACAACGAGTCTAGTGACCTACGAGTCATAATTATATATTTGTCGAACGTGCAATGTTACTATTCCGACGAAAAATACAAAATGATGCCCTAGATATCGAAACTCACCCAAGTACTTAGTCCGAAATCTTTCAAGTTAAGGAAACCGTCGTGATTATCCTGCCCCACAGCCTGAATATTGTTAATATGCATCATATGTTAGATATGTTTAGCCTGAATTATGTTTGAAGTTAAATCTATTACCTTCAGGGGACACGGGTGGCCAGTCGTCTGAAAACGCCGTGATATAACTGGAATACTGTTAAAAGCGGCGTTAAACCCAACTCACTCACTATTACCTTCACGTACTAGAATACTGTTAAAAGCGGCGCTAGACACAACTCACTCACTCACACTCACTCACTCTATTTCTAATATATACAGCCCGTCAAATGTATCGCACCACGAAGCGTAATTGCAAGGTCATTTTCAATGTAGAGATTTGCAAATGGTACACTGTCACATCAGCTGGCGGTAGAACTGGCCAGCTTCCCAACCTTGTGGGTGCTTTTATGCCGTATGCACACCAAAAGGGTCTCCATGGAGAAATTTAGTTTGATGACAGAAAGTCCATGCGTCTTTGCTGCTATTAATTATGATGAAAGTTTTACTAATTTGAACCGCTGCAGGATTAAGGGCTAGAAGACCAATAAGGCGTTCACTCCTCTCACCCCAACACATGCGGGACCGTTTAGCCTGGTGTCAGGCTCAAGCACATTGGAACTTGAGGTCATGGTGGGGGATTCATTCGTCTGCGGAAAGTCGGTTTTAATTGCACCACACTGATGACAGGGCTCGTGTCTGGAGGCAAAGAGGAACATATGATCATAAACGCAACATCCAGGAAGCAGTAGGATGGGATGGCGGCTCAGTGATGGTATGGTATAACATTAAATGTACGGAGTATTTCAATGTAAACACAGTCAAAGATCTTTCAAACAATGGTTAACTCTCAATTAATAACCGGTTTTGAAAAGAAACTGAACGTATTAATATGTTTTGATGTCCAAAATTATGATCCCTGGTATGGTGGCCTAACTTGTGTTGCTGGAGATCTGAAGCCCGTTTATATGAAATACTGTTATGTATTTTGGAGGTTTTGGTTTAGATTTAAATATTTACCAGTGATGATCTAGTTATGTTACAGTAATTTTTAACTTGTCTTAATGTATTTATAACCTTTGATAGTCACGATACGGTTGAAATACTGCCGTGACTTTAAATTTTAACTCACTCACTCTATACAAAGTATATAAACCGTGTTAAGTTCATCCTCAAATTTGCACAATATGTATATGTTGAACCCAATACTCTCAACGGTAGAGGGGCGTTCGGGTAGCCTAGTGGTTAAAGCGTTCGCTCGTCACGCCGAAGACCCGGGTTCGATTCCCGACGTGATTTTGCTGGAATATTGCTAAAAGCGGCGTAAAACCATACTCACTCACTCACTCAACGATAGTGCACAAACATACAAGAGATATTGACGTCAGAAATACAAAAAGCATCCATATAAACGCGACACTCCCTTTCCAAAATCATAAGAAATATCTGCTAAAAACAGAGTCGACCGGATAAAAACAGCGTAGAATTTGATGTCCTTAATATAATACATTGGTTGCAGAATACAGTATTTGTTGACATGTATCTAGGGCTGAATTGTTTTGGATATTTGTTTATATGTATCCTTCAAACACAGGACTCCTTCAGTGGGCCCACGACACTTTATTCGAGTTCTTAATACATATGATCTTGAAACATGGTGCATCTACCTTTATCTTGTAATAGTGAAGAAATTGTTATTACATTACAATGCATATTAGCCTTTATCATATAATGGGTAGGTTTCTCGGCAGAATAAATCCGAATGATAAATTGTATCCGTAGGGGTCATATACTGGAAAAGATGCAGATATGAAAGGTCTAGAAGGTTAAAAACAAAACAAAACAGTGTTAAAAACAAAATATGGCGTCGCTCATGTCTACCGGTGGTTGAGGACTTGGACAAATAACAAGGATAATTTTTATCATCATCAAAATAACCAAACATTTGTGTCTAAAACTGCGTAGCTGATGCCTTTCACAAGTGTAGCCAACTTTATCAGCATTGAGATCACACTTAATATCTAGTTCTATTTCCAGTCTATGTTTATCTCTGACACACACGTCACTTGAGTTCTCTCGATTCCTGACATCTGCCTTCTCCGGGACAGATTGGTGAAATACCCCTGGACGTCTTTGAATGACCGTGTGACATGATGCAATTGCCTCTTCATCTGAGTGTAGCTGAGTTCCAGGTGCCGCAATTGAGAGACAACCCGACTTTCCATCATGTCTTGAGGAGACTCTCCTTGTAGAATCTCAGCCACAGCTGCTCTCACTTGATCTAGCATGATTTCATTTGATTTTGAATATTACCACTATTACACATATTCCATGGGGAGTAAGGGGCACACCGAAACTCAGTGATCTCAGTGATGGTCAGTTCGGAATCGGCATTTGGTGCCTGAGTGGGGCATAACTGTGGCATGGTATCTCAGAGGACTAGTGTTAGCAGACACACACAAACACGCACGCACGCACGCACGAACGCATGCACGCACGCACGCACGCACACACGCACACACACACACTCACTCACAATGTTGATAAAGACTATACGTCGCTATATAAGTGCAATAATATTGAACACAACATTGAACCCTCTGGTATATGAACAATATTTCCAAGTTGAATCTCCAATGATCCAATATAATTTGTATGTTTGCTAGACATATGAAATTTCAAATATT